AAGAAATCAAGATGTTGATGAGTATCCGTGGGTTTATAATACAGGTCGGTTTCAATTTGACCATCATCTAACAATATACTAGCTACGTCCAGAAAACTCAAAGACATTTCACTTCTTTCAATGGTGAATTGGATACTGGGATCCAAAGAGTTTTATATTTCATGAAGGATCTTGATTGATATTTCGCTTTGTTTCAAAATCACGAAATCTCTTCCATCTTTGTTGGATGTAAAAAACCAACGTCTGTACCAAATCTATTATTTATATTATAATACCAAATCTCTTCTAAATATCCAAGTGTGAGCCTAGCATAAGTTGAGCCGACTTTAGTACCCATAGACACGCCTTTATTAAGTATACAACTGATCGTTGAAATCAAATATGTTGTAGGAAATCACAAGATCTAGCGCACTTAATACAAATGATTTTGGAAAGCGTTCAATTAGGACATCTGGGTATTTGTCAATCGCTTTTAGTCCTAAGTGGGGGTAAATTCGAAGTTTTTCCGATGTATAAACTAAATGGTTTTAATAATGAATTCTTAGAACAAAAATAGTCACATTTTTATTAAAAAGTACAAACCCAAACTAAATATGAAATAATAATTTATTGTGTGATTATATGTATTAATATCATTCAGTATCAATAACGTCATACTTGAACAGTTATTCCCCTTTATGACTTTCTAGTATTGTAACCATGGCGTTATTCTTATCGTTATATAATTATTAATGGAGAATATGTATGTAAGGCCAGAAGAAGTTCCAATGGAATGGAAAGCGCTAGCCGCATAATACTCTCCTCATCATTTTAATTTTCATATATACTGATGTATAAGATTTAATGTATGTCAGAATAAAGTAAAGGGGTGAATCTTTTACCTGGACGTATTTTTTATTTATTTGTGTATTATCTACCGTAATCATGGCAGTATTTTATCTACTTTATATGTAGCAATGTATCATTATCTGAATTAAGGTATAATTAAAATTATGCATCACCTGATCTTAACAAATTACCATGACGGGGATGACGTAACGAACTGTCGGTCAATGTAAAATTAATACCCATCAGTAATGAAGAAAATAGTGTGAAGAATCTGCAACGGAATGTGAGTTTTCCTTCAAGTTAATATATAATGAAGCATATACCATTTAGCGGGATATCTAATTGAAACGGAAATACCTCTATTGCAAGTGATTTCCAACTATTACTCAGAGTTACCACAATTGATTTAAGATCAGAATGTCATCGGTTTTTGGTTTGCTCAGCATATTGAACAAAATGACTGTAGTGTTTAAATTGATTAATAATTATTTGATTACTGATATTTAAGAATATTGTTGTTGCCTTGCTTATAGAGAACTGTTTGCAAGAACTGAACTGAGAACTTCATTTAAAGCTTTTAAGGACACTATTAACATTTGTAACTTTAGCTCGGGCGCTTATTTCATGTAACAGACAATTTTTGTAGCAGTAGCGTACAAGTCAGAGCTTGTCAGTATCACTTTGAAAATATGCCCCCCCCCCTCACACACACACACACGTCCTTTTCCTTCTTTAACTCGGGAAGTGCCACATACCCGAATGCCAGATTGTGTCGAACTCGTCCAAAGAATTTCATTTTGTTTCGTTTCGGATATTCCTTAGTTTTATAATTTCTTCAAACCAAATATAAATCTGTATATTATGCCTCAGGTCGTATAATTGGAAGGTATGGCTTGGCAATACGCACAGTGGAATCAGATCCGATATTGATTGCTATCTTAATAAGCAAATTGTTTTGTTGTTTTATTTGTGTGATAATATGCCTTTAAATGTAAATTACGCCATTGATTACCCTAAAGATCACATTAATATCACTGTCATTATTAACAGAATTCTATAAACTAAATATTTAACTACCACCGTTTCCTTTCATCCGCATCTTAGAGTAACATTTAAACATACGTTCGATAGAGTATATGTCAACATCATAGCCTTTGATGTGCCTTTTAAAAATTAAACACATTTCAACATCGAGTAGAAAGGTAATATATTAATGTTAGTGTTCTGTTGGTTCCTGGAAGTTTTTTTCTTTGTTTCTCAATAAAAAGCTGAGACTCCTCTGCAAAATTCTTTTAGCAAATACTATTGAGAGGAACTTACTTGCCCCTGAGGAAAGCACCGGAATCAATACTAGACGAGGTATTGACGATAACCCAGGAGTCTTTTCTGAATAGACGAGTTACACATGTCTTGTTGAAAGGTACTTCAATTAGGCGTTTAAAGGCTAAACATGAATCAATGCAGTTGCTTTATTCAGTAATATGAACCCATTACGCCTATAGAGCTTAACAAGCATCCTTGAGCACCGGCCTTTCTTAGTCTATTTATGCTATACTCCTTGAGTGGTCCATTTTCCCCCTTTATCTGGAACTCCTGATGGCTCCGACAAGCTGCTCTCATCTGAATTACATCGGTGAAAACGTAATTTACTCTAAATGTGGATGAGATAGGAACTATATATATATAATACTTAATTCGATCAGGAGTAAGCTTGACTGGTTGAAGCATTATTTACATGGTAGGTTTGTAGCTGCCAGCAAACAGGATGCTAACTAAGACAGAACCGAACTAAAATCATAGGGTTTCGTCAGCTATATGTGTTTAATGTAACATGATCTAAAATCCCCCATTATTGACCAATTTAATCAATGACTTCTTTTCTTTTTATGTGTCATTTCGCCATTATTTCACTCCATTGTGGTGTTGAATTTTGTTTCGTTTTATTAATAACTTAGACATCTAACCGATGTAGAAGATTTCTATGGAAACAATATTTAAAGACACCATACAGACTAAAAGGCAAATGTAGACTTTCGGTCAATACACATTAAACTTTAGTCTCACCAAAGACTTCCTGGTCAAAGATCAATCAATCCTTAAGGACGTTTTGACCATCCAAAGTTCCGGTTCCGTTCCATTGAATTCATGTCGCCATCCTGTTTTTCTCCAAGATTGTTAGTCGATACAAGAAACGTCGAGGCTAAGATTGTTTAGGATTAGTTCTTAATTTTGTTAAATCATATCCATAAATGAAACATCCAGTTTAAGATTATTTAGGGTTAGTTCTTAATTTTGTTAAATTTAAATAAGGAAAATAATCATAGATTGTCTAGTGCACCGGGGCTTGGAAGTCATAAAGACAATATCACGACTTATTAAGATCTGATTAAAATACAGATCTAAATGTCATTTCGTTTTCCTCATTTACGGTAGCCTTGACTAATAAATAGCCGACTTTGCTTAAAAGTCCGACTCAACGGACCATTTCTTTGGTAAACCCTTCCAGATCACTGAGTAAAACCAGATAGTAACTTCTAAAATATATATATTTTTTAAAAAAAAATAAGCTTCTCAACCGGATTAATTATATAAAAAGTGTGACACTGACATAAAAATGTTCTGAGTTTTATAAAGGGGGTCAATATTAAGTCAACACAGAATGGTGTCATTTGAAAGCTGATAGTCTGTAATGGCTTTGGAAAAAAAGATACATTATACCAACCTTGATATGTAGTTTTCATTTGATTGTGCACTTGTCAGAATCCCTTATTTATCCTGTCTTGTTTGAAAGTTGACCTTTAAGACAAACACATCCGCTTCCAGGCTAACAAAACCTTTCATGGTTGACTAGAAAGAGTGGAAATTACTATAATTTGTGGTATTTGTCTTTTTAGTAGAAAGAATATCGAGAAACATAAAATCTACAACATCTTTGATAACCTTATTTCACGAGAAATGCATGTTTCGACGCTATTAGTATTGACGTATATGTTGTGATCTAAAGCAACGCCAAAGGAAGTCTGTATTTCTCGGAATTGTGTTAAAATTAAGATTTATGACCTAGCTGTCAGAAAACATGAATTTCCGCTGGTATTTGATTTTATAAAAAACAGTCACTCATACCACTGAACAACAACATTCCTTAACTGAATGACTCAACCCAATTAAGTATTGTTTAATGGTCGAGAGCGAGACATTAAGTAATATATTGATACTGCACGAGGCGTTAGCCGAGTGTTGTTTCAATATATTACGCAATGTCTTTAGCGCGAGACCATTTAACAACTTAAAATACAGACACTATTCCGCACGTGCTTTTCAATGAAATACATCACGCGAGTCCAATATTTCATCTATTGGAAATAATGGTACGCCAACATCAAAGGATGATGTCACATCTGTATTTTAAGCAAATCTAACGATTCTACCCAAACAGCCAAATGCTTCAAAGAGGTTTTTCTCCTTTTTCCTCAAATTTTGTGTTTGATGTCCGTTCACAATTTGTTTGTGGATACTTTCGCTACATGTCAATTTTTATCCGATTTTGACAAATCTTGAAATGGAGGTTTATCTCCCAAAGATCTCAGTTCCTGTCGAAACTGGCATGTATCGGACAATAACTTAATAAATTATGGCCTCTGATGGTACGAAAAATCACGTTTTTAGCTTTTGGGCACTCTAGAGATCACAATTTTTATCCGCTTTTGATAAGCTACGTGTACGCAAATAGTATAAAAGTAGAAGTCACAATTTTTATCCGATCTTGATGAAACTTAAACGATCTCGGTTCCTTTCTCGATATTCGTACATATCGTGACGTAACTTTCTTGATTATAGCTCCTAATTGTACAAAAAAATTACTTTTTTAGCTTGTTCTCTATCCATCTCTTGCAAAATGTGGGCGTATCTTGCCTGGCAACAGCTGGTATTTTCAACAGATACCGTTTAAATGAAAAATAAATAGGGTTGAACATCTTACTTTTCTGCGCATACTGTGCTAGTGAAGACGGGATACCGTTTAAAAGATGAGACTGCGTCTTAAATTTACTTGGTCAAATGGCACAATATGAACGCGTGTGGTCCCGCAGAACTATGCCAAAAGCAAGTATGTGGGTTAAGCCATACTTTTGCTTAAGCTCCTTAATTATGTTGTCACTTTTCATATTTTGCAGGTCTGCGGAAAACACTCAACCAGAAAAAAGATCAGTTGACCAATTAGGTAGTGGACTTATAAAAAAATCATTGGACTCTATAGGCAGTGGCTTTATCAAACGACGTTTAGATCAAATAGGTTCTGGTTTCATCAGAAAAAGACCCATCGATCAGCTTGGATATGGTCTGATCAGAAAGCGACCGATTGACCAACTTGGATATGGCCTGATTAGAAAAAGGCCGATTGACCAGCTTGGATACGGCTTAATTAAAAAAAGACCAATCGATCAACTTGGTTATGGTTTAATTAAGAAACGTCCTGTTGATAGTCTTGGTATGGGTCTCATCAAAAAAAGCAACGATGTTTATGACAGCCAACAGTATAGCTCTTCAGAAAGTGGAGAAACGGGACAGAAGCGTGATCTGGATTATGTAGGATATGGTTTAATTAAGAAAAACAGCAATTCAGCAGAAAGACGAGGGCTCGACAGTATAGGCATGGGGCTTATAAAGAAAGATTTAGATACCATAGGAATGGGTCTTGTGAAGAAGTCCAACAAGCGGTATATGGATAGATTAGGTATGAGTGATAGAGGTCATATGAGTAATTCGCGTTCTAATAGAGTATTTCATAAACGACCAATTGATGCATTGGGTGAGTAACGCTGAAAGATATAAGAGAATTGCACAGCCAAGCGGTCTATACTCTGGCTTTAAACTGCATGATTCTTACGTCACGTTACTCACGGTAGGTTAGTTTTTTACCAGGATATTATTATGAGTGTTAGAATTTGTTATTTGTACGCCTACACACCTGAATCGATGTTGTATATAATCAAAAATGCACAGTAGCCCTAGAATCAAACATCATTCATTAATATTGTTGAATACCAACACCATCAGTAATCCAGCTTTAAACAGTCACATGCATATCAATATGAGTCTAATTCATTATTAAAACCCCCCGAATTATCCCTAAAATATGACGCCATTTGTATACGCCCTCATTTTCATGTGGACGTATTATGCCGTCGCCCCTGTCTTTGTGGACACTATACAGGTCACATTGCTTTATCCGATTTTGACGAAACCTAAAATATTGGTCTATCACCCAAAGATCTAGGTCCCTTTCGATATTGGCATGTATCGAACCATAACGTTTTTAGTTTGTGGACACTCTAGAGGTCACAATTTTCATATTTATGCCGTCGCCCCTGTCCGTCCGTCCACAATTTTTTTGTGGACACTCTACAGGTCACAATTTTTATCCGATGTTGACGAAACCTAAAATATAGGTCTATCTCCCAAGGATTTTGGTTCCTTTCGATATTGGCATGTATTGGACCATAACGTTTTTAGTTTGTGGACACTCTAGAGGTCACAATTTTCATATGATTTTGATGACACTTGATATGCATGTTTACAACGAAAAGATCTTGGTTCCTTTTGATATTCGCGCATATCGGATTGTAACTTCCTGCATTATTGACCGTGATTGTACGAAAAATCAGGCTTGTAGCTTGTGGTCCCTCTAGAGGTCACGATTATTATCCAATTTAAAACACCGTTCCAATATATCACCTATACATCGTAATGTCGGTTGAGTTCGAATGTCGTGAAATTCGGACCAAAACCGTCGGACAAAATGGCCGCCCCTCGTTGTGGACCCTCTAGAGATCACAATTTTGATCCGATTTTGATAAAATTTGAAATACATTTTATAACCCGCAGATCTTGGTTCATGTCGATATTCGCGCATATCGGATCATAACTTCCTGAATTATGGTCCTTGATTGTACGAAAATTCGCGTTTTTAGCTTGTGGTCCCTCTAGAGGTCACAATTTTTATACGATTTAAAAAAAACTGTTCGAATATATCAGTGTTACACCATAATGTCAGTTAAGTTCCAATTTCGTGAAAATCGGACGGAAACTATCGGAAAAAATGGCTGCTCCTTGTACAATAAAAATAGTGTAAAAGTGTGAAATACCTAGTTTGCGGACCCTCTAGAAGTCACAATTTTTACCGGATTTTGATGAAACTTGAAATGCATGTTTATAACCAAATGATCTTAGTTCCTTTCGATATTCGTGCACATCAGACTGTACTGTCCTGAATTATGTTCAATGATTGTTCGAAAAATCGTGTTTTTTAGCTTTTGGATTCTCTGGAGGTCACAATTTTTATCCTGATTTTAAAAACCGTTTAGATATATCACCATTGTGACATAATGAAGGTTGAATTCAAATTTTGGGAAAATCAAAATGAAACTGCCAGACAAAATGGCTGCTCTTTGTACGCAAACTGTGTAAAAGTATGTAATACGGAGGTTGTTGACCCTCTAGAGGTCACAATTTTTATCCGATTTTAATGAAACTTAAAATATATTTTTATATTCAAAAGATCTTAGTCCCTTTCGATATTTGCGCATTTCAGACCATAACACTTTCTGGATTATAGCTTTTGTTGTTAGCTTGTTCTCTGTCCATCTCTTGCAAAATGTGGGCGTATCGTGTCTGACAACCACTGGTGTATCTTTGAAATTCCCGGATTTAAATTACGACGTCAGCGCCTGGGGACGCCAAACCATCTCTTCTGAAAATCGTCATATGGTGCTTACTTATGGCCGAATGTAATTAGCAAATTTCTAGAAAAACTTTACATCTTTCTTGTAGCGCGTTTATAAGAAATTTCGGATGATGGAAGGTTACAGTGACATACGTCGACATAAATTGACGCTGAAGATATGAAAATATTGATAGACATGCTACAGTGTAATTGACATTTTTAAAAGTTAAACTCCCATATCTCCGATGGAATAAAGACTATCTTACGAGCGTAAAATCCTGATAAGCCGATTCGGGAATTCGTTGTAATTAGTGTTACTTAGTGTTTGGAAATTAAACTCCTGCATTCCAATATTTTACACTATTCAAATTTGTTCCATTCCTGAAAAGGGTTGCTCAATTTTGGTAGAAAGGAGCCGCGGTGGATGAGTGTGTAAGACACTGACTCGCTAACAAGAAAGTTTCGGGTTCGCTCCAGGTGTTGGCCGAGAAAACTCCTTGTGGTTTCCTCTTGTTATTGGTGTGGGGCGGAGGCCCTGGCAAATGACACTCTGGTCGATCGGATTGGACCAAACACCCGAGATCCGGTATACACATTGGTGTGTACGTAAAATAACCCTTAATTTTTGGCATTCGAAATAAGAGTAGACCGTAATGCCGTTGCCCAGGCAAAATTTTCCTATTAGCACACTTGCCTGTCATAATTAGCCGAGTCGATGCAGAAAATTAGGACGGTAAACCTCATTTCCTTTCATTGTATTTTCTGGTCGACAGTTACAATTCTGATTTTTTTGGGCCCCCGCCTTTCGAAGAAAGCAGGGGACTATTAAAATGGGTTTGTCTGTCCGTCACACTTTTTGGGACACAATAACTCCCTTTCTAATTGAGAAAGAATGTTCAAACTTGGTGTAGTTGTTTATTAGGTCAATGCCTTGATGGAGTTCGAAGATGAGCATTTTCTGCTTAGGGTAAGCAGAGATAAGCAATTTGATTGGTTGATGCTTTGGTACACGATAACTTGAGTTCTAATTATGTGAGAGTAAGGAAACTTGGTGTAAATTTTCATTACGTCAATACCGTGACTAAGTTCGATAATGAGCATTTTCTGCTCAGGGTAAGCAGGGTGATAAGCAATTTGATTGGCTGAGACTTTGGAACACATTAACTCTCTTCTAATTGAGCTAGAATGTTCAAACTTGGTGTAGGTGTTTATTGGGCCAATGCCTTGATAGAGTGCGAAGATGAGCATTTTCGGCTTAGGATAAGCAAAGATAAGCAATTTGATTGGTTGATACTTTGGGACACGATAACTTTGGCTCTAATTAAGTTAGAGTGATAAACTTTGGTGTATTTTTTTATTACAACAATACCTTGACTAAGTTCGATAATGAGCATTTTCTGCTCGGGCTCAGGGTAAGCAGAGCGATAAACAATTTGATTGGTTGAGACTTTGGAACACAATAACTCTCATTCTGATTGAGCTATAATGTTCACACTTGGCGTAGGTGTTTATTAGGTGAATGCCTTGATAGAGTTCGAAGATGAGCATTTTCTGCTTAGGGTAAGCAGAGATAAGCAATTTGATTGGTTGATGCTTTCGGACACGATAACTTTAGTTCTAATTAAGTGAGAGTGGGGACACTTGGTGTATAGTTTTATCTCATCAATACCTTCAGTGTAATTTCCATAAATAAGCATTTTCTGCTTATGTGTAAGCAGAGCGATAAGCAATTTGATTGGTCGAGACTTCGGAAAACAACTCTCCTTCTAATTGAGGTAGAATGTTCATACTTGGTGTAGACGTTCATTAGGTGAATGCCTTGATGGAGTTCGATGATAAACATTGTCTGCTTACGGTCAGCAGAGATAACCAATCTGATTGGTTGATGCTTTGGGACATGATAACTTTGGTTATAATTAAGTGAGAGTGATGAAACTCTGAGTATCGATTCATTATATCATTACCTTGACTAAGTTTGTTGATGAGAATTTTCTGCTTAGGCTTAGGATCGATAAGCAGTTTGATTGGTCAAGACTTTTGAACATAACAACTCTGCTTTTAATTGAGGTAGAATGTTAAATCTTTATATAGATGTTCATTAGGTGAATGTCTTGACTGAGTTCAATGATTAACATTTCGAGCTAAAGCTAAGCAGAGCTGAGCAATTTCATTGGTCGATGCTTTGTGAAAAGATAACTTTGATTCTATATGATAGAGAGTGATCAAACTTAGTGTATAGGTGATAATTTATTTGATTGCTTGATACTTTTGAAAAAAATAAATGTGCGATTAATGAATATGTGTCATCTATTTATTTTGGGATTTCGGCGGGGGACATCAGCCTCGCTGTTGGCTTGTTTTTCTTACCAGCTGTTCAAAATGGGCCAGAGCAGTAAAACTTTCCTGTTGGAATGACGCTAAAGACAAAACCTTCCAGATAATAATTTATGTGAGTGGGCTCCGCATTTTTGCTTCAAAACATTGTCTACTCAACCGATTCAATGGTGTAAACATCCACGAATGTAGTTTGTTTTGTTTTTTAAAACAAATTTTTTATTCGGGATGTCTGAATGGGATTGAGGAATAGTCTTAGCCTATGTACCCCCCCCCCACCTCCCTAGTTAATATATATATACTTATTATTAATACAGATCAACAATGTTCCAGTAGACGTTATAAGTTAAAGAGTTTATATGCGATGTTTTCTTTTAACCTGAAGATAATATTTAACAACCTTCATAAAAACAGAGTTAACCGACTTATTGAAACCAAATATTTCGATCGTGTCACAGTTGAAAATTAATCCATTCTGTCACCACATGCTAACATGTTATTACTGTGAATAATTAACTAGGTCTTCTTTATATTTTTTTATTATGTGTAGTAGCGTCACGTTGGTTATCGTGGAACATGTTACAGTGTAGATAGGAATTGGTATATAGCACGTATAGATAGATACTGTAGTTGATTTAAGTATTAAAATAATGTATACAATCTTGAGCTTGATCAATAAAAAGTTTCGACCAATATAATTTACGTCATTATGTTAAGCAACTCGGAGAAGATGGGTCGTTCTTGATCCAGTCAGTTGAAGCCAGTTGTCCATATTTTTAAAACTTTCTGCAATTACCGACATGAGCGCACTTACAACTGACTTCAACTCGTTGTTGTGACTATTCAGGTACTCAATGGCCGCCCGTCAATGACGGCATATGTTTAGACATTTAATCATTTAGTCATTCGAAAAAAAGACAAAATTTAACGACTACAAGGATTAGAATTGATTATGACAAAATATGACATAAATGTCCTTTTAAAGGATTAGACTACGACAAAATATGACAGATACAGGCTTTGGATGTGTATTAATCCCTGAAAGTCGTTTCTGTATTTTGCAATAGTCTGATATACCATTCGACGTGGAACTAACACGCTGTATTTACTCGTTGAAACCAACGCGTACTTCCAAGAACACTTGATATTCAAAGTGTTGGTGAACGGTGGCGACATGACAAATTAGAAGCACGGAGAAAACTCTCCTGGACGCTGATTGGTTGATAATGCGAGGCTCGAAATACAAATAGGGACTCGTCGGTACTGAACTAACAATAAGACACAAACTGAGTCAGAATGAATGTAAACGAAATAAGATTCCCGATCTATTCAAAACACTTGTTCCCATGAAAACATCACGTGATGTATGTCGTGTGACCACGTAACTAGGCGAAATGGAAGCTAACGAAGGCATCGACTTTTCAATTGTCGATGATGTCAACAATAATGTATTAATAGAATTGTGACAAACACCATGGGATTCATCTTCTAAGACGATTCGCCATTTTATTGATCACATGATAAATAAAAAAACAGTCACGTGTTAAGTGTTTTCGCTGCCGAATTCAGTTGCTGGATTGATCGACATAAGCGCACATTAAATTTATTGATGATAAAATTAGCATCGCTTAAAATTTTGAAAGTTGTAGTGACAAGGTGATCTGGTGCGATCATGCGGTCTGTAATTGAGCCAAGTGTCGTGGTTTGGATCCCAGGTGTTAACGCAGCAAGGAGTAGGGTCGCCTTTCTGAGCTCGAGGAATGAATTTTTTCCGGCCCAAATAGCCCTGTGCGCAAGCGAATTATTGAAATTAAGTAATGCCAAATATACTGACCCCGACAAGATAGGTGAAATTCGGAAGTGTAACTAATTTTAGCATGGTTATGACTAAACTTTCGACTTTTGAACAAAAAATGGCGTCATCTACAAACGTAATTTTTTTTAAAAAGAGTTAATATGGATGGACACATTTGTTCAAACAAACACTCCAAGAAAATGACCATGTCCATACTAATTAATCGTAACAAATCAATCTAAAAACAGTCATACATTTGTAAATAATGGTTTGTATTTATTTTTGAACATGGGACGTCATGAAATATTTTCCTGCTTGCTATATACGTTTTTTCCCAATGAATAGCACAATCAGGCATCCAAATGTATTACGATTCCAAAGAAGTTGTCATTTTATTTTATTATTTGTCTATGGTAGTGCCCCTTTTCCCAGTAACCCGCGTTTACACTTTCATAAATATAGTTACAGCGCCATTGACAATCAATCAAAATATTCTATATCAAGAAGGCAACCAGACATGGTTCCTGTAATTGTCTGAATTTCCATATTCAATTTAATGCATGTAAAACACTTGAAGATACCGTCCACGGATAGAGGTCATTTGGACCACAATATCCGTGTTTAGACAACTGTTAACAAACTTGCCGATTGCCTTGACTCTTATAAATTCATCAATATTAATTACTAATTATAGCTGAAATCTACAGTCGCGTTCGTCAAGAAATCCTTTGTGATTCTGAAAACCTAATGAGGTCAGTTCCCTTGATAGTTGTAAGTTGTGTAACTATCGGTGTTAATTCATTTATTCCAGTTGTTATTGATAATTATTGTATCACTTCTCCTTGGGCTACTCACTTACGTTACCTTGTTTCAGTTTTTAGATAGCGATGTTATATTGAGGAATGAACTATAAATGTGCGAGATAGGACAAGACTATACAGTAAAGTAAAACTAAATGAACGTAACATTATAAAGATTAATTTCTATGCAAGTGTTTAGCATTTGTGTTATTTGAGAGCAAATTCTGCACATTACAGTGATATTTTTTTCTGGCCTAAAACGTCATTTAAACTATTACTTACACATTATCTCTCTTGGGCATCGGGTGTCTTAGATATTGTGTGGATTACACACGTAATACCCAACTTCTCTTTCTTGTCTGTTTTATGTTCAAGCCGTGCTTTTTTTCTTAAAGACCCTATTTATCCTATATGGATTATTATGCAGATAGAATAAAATGAAATAAAATGGGATTTAACTTCCTACTTTCGATAGAATAACCTTCAAAGATCAAAGGAAATTGTCGACATAGGTTTCTATAGTGTGGACGAATTTATGGGAGGAATATTTCTTCACGGTGTATTCGGACTCTTTATTTAAGTTCATACAATTATTATGAAAATATAAATAGCCTAACCTCACAATGTTAGTGTCGAGTTTTAATTAATAACATTGTGTTTTGGCCTCTAGAGATACAGGCTAATAATTTATTGAGGTCTCAATACTGGATTTATATCATGATGTAGATTATCGCCAATCCCCGAAGACATCACACGGGATCAGTCTTCATTTATAACCATTGCGTGTTGTAGTAAAAAAGGGCTTATAAAAGCAAGCATTTCAGTCGCCTGACATCAGAATACTCTTACTATACATATAGATAATGTATCGCTTGACATCCAGTAATATAGTTCAATAACTAAGAGTTTTGGTTGGATTTCTTATTGTGCTAATAGGTGGTTTCGCGGGATCAAACGACACTACCGTCAAATATTCTGACGGCATTTAAAATTTGAAAGTTTTAAGCCCCAAATATTTGGCCGTGAATCAAATCACTAAACAATGATTCACTATTAGGTTATACACAGGCATATGAACGGATTAAAAACCAACATTGCCCACTATTAGACTGTATATATAATACCTGTATGGTATATTACCCGACATGTCTGTAATAACTTGATCCAACCGGAAGTAAATCTCCCCCCATTGACATCAATGTTAACTCCGTAACATTTCTTGGCCTTGAAATTTCCAATGATCTTAGTCTGTATACCCACTCAATAAGCCAACATGTCACAATCATCTGATAAAAATATTGAATAATCTAAGCCTGGTCAAAGTAATTTATATACAGTAACGTCATATTAGGAGATGATTTTAATATATCATTTCCGAAACCCATGTTTATTTATTTTCCTATCTTTCCGCCTGAAAACAATCACGAATATTCACTAATACCTGACAGAAATTGTGAATTCGAAACACTCTTCTTTAATTCTAGACCAAAATATTAACAACAATATTGTCATTCCCAAGGAGGAGAGAGAGAGAAGGAAATGGGTTTTAACGTCCAATCGATACAAATTTGGTTATTTTCGACTAACATATGGTTCAATTTTATTTCAATAATTCGCTTGCGCGTAGAGGTCTTTAATAGGAGGAAACCGTAGGGCCCGGAGAAAACCCATGAGGTTCAACAGGCGACCCTAATTCTTGTCACATACAACGGGGAATTGAAACCACGCCAGTTGACTCAAAGACCTGATGATACAACCATTCGGCCACCCAAGCCTCTCCCAAAGGAGGGTGGGGTGGGGACGAATTGCTATCAATAGGCGGACTACGTGAAATCAGGGGAACCAATTATGTATCATAATAATTTGGAACACAGGACACCATTAATCCCTACGCTGGTTACCCAGATACCATTGACGTCCTAATCTTAATGAATTTATAACCTGTTGTAATTTCTATCATGTCAGCTTTTAACTTAGCCTAAATCTGTTACAAAGTAGCTTGGAAATTTATTTAATCACACCACCACTAATAGAATGTGACGTCGCTGTAACTGTCCACGCGTATTGTTCAAAAAAGGAAAATATCGGCGTCCACAGATTTCATATTATATAGTATTTGACAGAATCAATCAAATTTTTTTTTTTTTTTTTTTGACCAGAAATTGTTCTGTATGCGCTACCCATCTTTGTGTCGACGCTCTTCATAAAGCCTAACAGGCGGACTTCGATTTTTTTTTATATGATCGGTCCCTTGTCCATATTATACTATAGTACTTGTTAAAATAAGTTCTTTGCTGTAGTTGATCCGTAATCTATTTTCACACCCTTTCGGAATATGTTGATCGAGATTACGGATCAAAGGTATTGCTGTTAAAATTATATTTGGAATCCTTTAAGTCAGTTATATCAAATAATATTATATGCATAATTTGAGGATATCGATATTCTCCTTAATGTTTATTCAATGACAAAACTTAATAAATATTTCATATTTAAAATACCATGACCATAAGTAGTTTTCCCTAATGTGTAATAAGTATTCCAACTGAGGGTTGAGTTGAGTTTCTAGACTAGCAATGGCATACCGACAATACCAAAGATGTGTGGACTACTGTAATATTTATCATTCTCTATTTCAGGAATGGGTCTAATAAAACGAAATGGTGACAAAAACAGAACATACCACAAAAGACCAATAGATTCACTCGGAATGGGTCTGATTAGGAAAAGACCTATGGATTCTCTAGGCATGGGCCTCATCAAACGACAACATGGCGATAAGAACCACAGATATCATAAACGACCTATCGATTCATTGGGAATGGGGCTTATTAAACGGGATGGGGAGAAAAGAGCACTTGATGAATTAGGAATGGGTTTAATCTAAGTTGTATTATTATAAGGGAGCGCCTACGATTATTTTAATTTAAGAACAAAGAATATCATTAAATCTAATTATAAGTAACAAATGGAGTATTTTATCTACATGTATATTTACACAAAAACAAAACAAAGAAACGATTTTTACTTATGCAAATGATTAATTCCAATATGGCGAACTTGAAAAATGGTGATACAGTTATGATAACATTTCTTTAGTTAAAAATATTTTTAAGCATAGCGATTCTTGTTTGTATACTTTAAAGGCGATCTCTTACTTACAGTAATATTCATATTCTAACTCCCACATAGGTTTCATAAATTAATGATAAAACCAGTGAAGTTGACATGCAACTGTAAGATCCCAGCAACATACATGCAGGAATAGATTCCGTAGCACAAATCGTACATTTTATAAAGAAAAAGGGATAATACATTACTTATTTGTTGTTTTTTGTTAAGCTCAACGAACTGACAAAGTTGTACATTGTAATTTGAACAGTTTTTGTTTGTACAAGGATTGCAATTACACATTTATATACAACCCATGTATGTTACTGACGAAGGATACCCTTTGAGTTAAATTAATGTTATTTTATTTAAAATTGTTATCTTGTATGATTTTATAATAACTGTATGATTGTTTTGTGTTTCGTTAACTCTATATTCAAACATCGGAATATTTAAAATAAACCACGTTTTATAGAAGTAAATATAATGTATATCATTATATCTATGTTAGAAAAACAATGGATTAATGAAAGATGTAAATCATTAATAATATTTTACATGTACGTTATTTATTGTTGTTTATAATATTCGTTTGATTTTATGGCTCATTTGTCTTATTCTAATATAAATAATAAAACGAATTAAAATTCAAAAAGTATTTTTAAAACGTTATCATAACTAAAGAATGGTGTATTTTGTGTATATATAAACATATCAAAAGCTGGCAATGTTGTATTCATCGATTCAAAGGCCACGTTTGAAGTAAACAATTATATTGAGCAATTTGGTTTCGACTTATTTCTGGATTGATATTTTTTAACTGCTGCCTAAGGCTATGCGGAGCCAAGGTGACTCAGTGGAAAAGGCGATGGCTTACTACTACGAGGTACGGGGGGGGGGGGGGCCTACCGGTGTTGGCATAAAAGGTTCATCGGGATTTTCCAGCGTAGCTTTGATTTTATTTTATTCCTTCCCATTGTTGCAGTAGCAGGACGGTGGGCCTGGCAAGGAACCAGAGGTCCGTGTACACGTTGACATTCAAGTGAATGAACTCTTGACATTCGGAATTCAATATACTGTCCGTGCAAAATTTCCCTCTGCACACTGTATATCAAATTATGTGTTTAATCATATCAAAAAAAATAAAATGAAATGAAATTTAACATCCTACCTTTCTGCACCGACTAAGTTAATGCAGACGGTGTCTCATAAAAATGGTATGAAGTCAAACATGTCACCAGTAAGGTACTCCATGGCACTCCTATGCATAAACACCATCAGTTAGTATAATTGCAGTTTGCTTCCACACCCTTCACGGAATCCACCACTACCCGATGGGTCTGTGCAATTTTTTGTTGTTGTCGATTCTTGTAGTAAAACCGTCATTTTCAGATCAGTGTAGTGGAGATTCGTATACGTTCTTAAGCCCCCCACCCCCCAACACACACACATACATCACTCTAAAAAGTCCGTAGTATGTGTATAGTAAGAGGAATAACAGGCTTTGATTTGAACATATTTTACTATGGGTTTGATCTCTTAAAGGTAATGTTGCCCTTCACCAATTTTACATACGTGATAGAAACGGAAATGTTGCCGTCCTCCAAATTAACATGTGTTTAAAAAAATGTACTGTCTCCTTCCAACATTTTACGTATGTGATAGAAAAGGTAAAATTGCCGTCCACCAATTTGAAATATTATAATATACGTGATGGGAAAGAAAATGTTGCCATGTGATAGTTATGAAGATGTTGCCATCTGCCAATTTTACATATGTGATAGAAGCGGTTAAACAGATTCCATAGCATTATAATATAGCAATCTTAGACATGTAACGTAAAGGCAATACATTATTGTTACCCACTGGAGTAGCCGGTAACAGTAGACAGACGATTTTCAGGCGAAAAGTTATGTGAGAATATCAGTTTAAAACCCTTTATTCGTTGCAAATCCTGACTGTCATGTCAGAAAAAGCACGACGGCCCGAAAAAGAAGTCAATGTATCCTCTAATTTTGATGAATTCTCTGTTTATTTCGGTATAAATAAAGTCACAGTATTATAGGCATTTTTTATTTTTACTACTAGGGTTACGATATATACTATTCAAAAAAAGTAGGGGATATTTGATTTTGGGGGCATAATACTAAAATATGCAAATGACTACGAAAAAAGTCACTATAGAACCTAACAGAAGAAACATTTCCAGTTACATGTGACGCCCAAACGCACCAATAGCTACCGCATGGAATGCAGGTGATGCTTGGGATCATCATGGGGGTCCAACCCAAGATTTGCACGACTCTGACTTTGAATGTTACAGTCATTGTGGCATTGAATTCCAGGGTGGAAACATCAGTTTAATTGTTTTAGTGACCAGAAAACAAATTTTGATATGCGTCGGCTTACCCAAAATGAAAGGTTACGTGCCCTTGGCATGCTACAGATCGGCACAACACAGGCGGTTGTGGCGCGGACGATGAATGTTTCTCAGTCTGTCATAAGCAGGCTATGGTCCAGATACCGTGATACACAATCTGTACAGGACAGACCACGCTCAGGTCGACCAAGGGCGACAACTCAAGCCCAGGATCGATTTATCCGTACCTTGGCCTTGAGAAATCGTGTCATCACAGCAAATCAGATCAGCGCTTGTCTTCAAACAGACACTGGTGTGAGAGTGAGTGGCCAGACGATTCGGAATCGACTGCATAGGGGTCACCTTCGCGCCCGACGTCCTCGCGTGATCCCTTGTTTGAGAGATCATCACATTCAGGCAAGACGTCGTTGGTGTAGGGATCGTCAACATTGGGATAATCGACGCTGGAGCAATGTGATGTTTTCAGATGAGTCAAGGTTCACTGTTGATTTTTTGGACAGACGTAGGAGGGTGTGGCGTCGTCGAAACGAGCGCTTCCAAGACGTTAACGTCATCAGACATGATCGATTTGGGGGTGGTTCTGTTATGGTGTGGGGAGGCATCACTGTTGCTGGAAGAACGGCTTTACATGTTGTTGCAGGGCGTGTTACAGGCCAGTACTACCGGACAACATCTTGGCAGTCCATGTTGTGCCGTTCGCACGACGTCATGGCCGCCGTTTCATCTTCCAGGATGACAACGCAAGATGTCACAGGGCCAGGATCGTTACAGGTTACCTCCAACAACAGAACATCACCACATTACCTTGGCCAGCACTGAGTCCCGACCTCTCCCCCATCGAGCATGTCTGGGACATGCTTGGACAGAGGTTACGTCAACGTCAACAACGTCCTGCCACTGTCCAAGCACTTGCTGCTGCGTTGCAACAGGAATGGGACAATCTGGACCAAAATGACCTTAGACGTCTCATTAGGAGTATGCCACGTCGGATCAATGGTTGTTTGGCAAACAGAGGAGGATTTACCCGTTACTGACTTGGTTGTGATGCTGTGGTAACTTTGCTGTTTGACCCCGGGTATCATTTTACCCTTATAATGGTCAGTCTGTGCCTTACTTAGTCTAACGATCATTTGGAATAAATCGGTGAATGTGAACTTCATTTCATTTTGTCATTTGTTTCTTCGTCAGTTTCATTAGGTGACTTTAATAACACTTAAAAATCAAATATCCCCTACTTTTTTTGAATAGTATATATCCATGTTAAAATTACATTTATATCACATATTTTAAATTGGTGGTCGACAGCATAGTTCTATACTGCATTGGGAATGCGTCTCTAGAAAAGTAAAGCTCACCAAAGGTTAACCTTCGCACATGTTCCACAATTTAAGTTTCGTAAAAATCGGGTAAAAATTGTGAACCCTAGGTTCTCCACAAACAAATGCGGACGTTAGAGATGAAAAGACATAGGCGACAACATAATACGTCCACAGAAGTATGGGGGAGTATAAAAATTCCCTTAATCATTTGAGCGGGTAACATTACGTGAAACATTACGTGGATCCACCTGACAAAGCCCACAGAAGTCAAGAATATATACAATGATCTGTTTTAATATGTCGCTCTCTGTAATAAACATGCAGTAATAGCAAGAGTTGTGTAATATGAATATATATAATATGAGCCAAGACCAACAAAGTGAAAACAGAAGTATCTGTAAGATCCGTGCGAAGTAGTTTATAATGTATTAATGATGGGGATGGCTATTTCGTTCACACTACCACGACTCGTTCGTATGATTTATGCATTAGCTTAATGAAATCGTGAATTAATATACTTACAAATCTATTAAAAATAGATAAGAAGGTTCAGTGATGACAACTGAAGTCTGAAGGGTAAATATATATACACTGTTAATAATAAATGTAAAATTACAGTGAAAAATTATGTAAAAAAATTTAACATAACGCTGTAAAAATACAACTGCATGTTTTTATACTATAAATTTACTGTATTAGTGCGGTAACATGGGATTACTGTAAAACATTGGTAAAATAAAAGTGTAGTTTTACAAGTTAGAACTATTTTTATTACATGTAATCTGTATTGATACAACTATGTTGGTCAAAAGTATATGTATGTTGTACTTTAACTGTTTTTATGGGTAATTCTACTATTCAAACATGTTTTGTGTACAATTTACAGGAAACGTGTAATTGTAATTTTAACATTGATAGACCTTTTATGGCTTCGTTACTTTTCGTCTATACTATAGTCCACCGTCCACTTATGAGGGGGTCACGGTGCCTAAGTGGATAAGACGCTGGCTCGCTAGCCTGGAGGTCGGGTGTTCAATCCCTGCATTTGCCGAGAAAGTTCATCCAGATTTTCCGGCGTGGTTCCCCCTTGTCAGTTATGCAAGTCGTTCGGATGGGACGAAACGCCACGGTCCCGTGTACACGTTGGTGTGCACGTAAAAGATCTCTATTAAAATTATATGTATATTTACAATTATAAGTATACTTAAAATACAGTGTCCGATTTGTAATATCACATAGTTTGTTAACTTACATTTAAAATGATGTAAATGCATATGAATATAAAGCTTATGTAAGATTACATCAAACGTAATGTAGAAATACAACCATATTATGCCAGTTTACATTATGTGAGCAGTATATTAACAGAAATTTCATTTGAAATAGTAATTTTACAACAAATTTTAAATTTACTGTCAAATAGTGTTCAAATCGATTATTCCCCTTCGACCACGTTTCGAATTTTGTGCAAAATATTTACTGTTATGTCAGTCAGATTAGTTTATTTTAAAGAAATAGGTTATTCAAAATCTGAATGCACCTAACTGTATGGAGACAGTGATATGCCATACATAGCGTTGTGTAGGACATTTTGCTTCGTGTCATGTTCCTACTCTTTCCATTGTAAGAAGCAGTAGGACGTTAAACCCCAATTAATTTCTTTCCATTATCGAATGATTTTTTGCATACTCAGCTGAAAGGTCCGCAAAACTTTATATGTTCGCCAAGATCTAACCTAGGACTACTTAGCCGAATGGGGACAAACACATTCAAAGTATATTTCAAGTAAATATACACTTCAAATTGTATTTTTACCGAAAAATGACTGGCAGAAAGTTGCCAGTAAAATCACTGTATTTTAACACTGTCATGTAAATGTACCCCTAAATGGTAGATTTAGATTTACAAACACCACGTAAATTTACAGTGAGTGTAAAATTACTTTGTGGTAAATTTACAACCACAGTGTAAATTTACAGTGAGTTTAAAATAACTTTGAGGTAAATATACAACCACAGTGTAAATTTAGAGTGAATGTAAATTTACTCCCACTTTCTATTTACAAGAACAATTCAAATTTACAC